TTTAAATGTATTGCCAAAAGATTTTATTTAATTTTATTATATTCTTTTCCTTTCATACCTTTAATGCTTTTTTCCATATATTTCTGAGTCCATTTCCCCCCTCCCCATTCACAGTACTGACACTTCTTTTGGCTCCGTGGGTCTTTTATTTTTCCAGTTTGGGTTTTGTGTGTGCGTGTGTTTATCTACTTTATTTTGATTACCTTTGCATACAGTTCTCAATAGAAACACTTTCTGAAGCTCAGCTCCTTCTATATTGTGGGGGTTTTCATAGAAATGTAGGGCTGGAAGAGACCTTGAGAGGTCATCTAGTCCAGCTCTCTTCACCGTGGCAGGACCAAGTATACCTACACTACCCTGACAGATATTTGTCTAACCTCTTCTTAAAAACCTCCAGTGATGGGGATTCCACAACCTCCCTTAGAAGCTTATTCCAGTATTTAACTATCCTTATAGATAGCAAGTTTTAACTTAGATATTGGGAAAATCTCCTTTGATGAAGATTAAGCCAATTACTTCTTGTCCTACCTTCTGTGGACATAGGGAACATATGTGAAGACCGTTATTAGGTTCCCCCTCTCCCCCGCCCCATCTTCTTTTCTCAAGACTAAACATGTCCAGTGTTTTTATCATTTCCTTATCGGTCAGGCTTTCTAAACCTTTTATCGTTTTTGTACCTCTTCCTCTGGACTCTTTCCAATTTGTCTACATCTTTTCTAAAGTGTGGTGCCCAGAACTGGACACAGCATTCCAGCTAAGACCTCACCAGTGTCAAATAGAGCAAGATAATTACCTCCCAGGTCTTACATACAACACTCTGTTAATACACCCCAGAATTATATTAGCCTTTTTTCACAATTGCATCACAATATTCACTCATATGCAATTTGTGATCCACTGTAACCCCAGATACTTTTTAGCAGCACTCCTGCCTAGCCAATTATTCCCCTTTTTGTAGTTGCGCATTTGATTTGTCCTTCCTAAGTGCTGTATTCTGCACCTTATTCAATTTCATCTTGTTGATTTCAGACTAGTTCTCTAAGTTCTCATTGGTTCTTTTGAATTCTAATCCTGTCATACAAAGTGCTTGAAACCCCTTCCAGCTTGGTGTCTTCCACAGATTTTATAAGCATAATCTCCACTCCATTATCCAAGTCATGAGTAAAAATATTGACTAGTACCAGACAGACCTCTGCAAGCCCCCACAGTTTGCTAGCGAACTATTGATAATTACTCTGGTCTTTCAACCAGTTATGCACCTGCCTTATAGTAATTTTATCTAAACTACATTTCCCTAATTTGCTTATGAGAAATTCATGTGGGACTGTCAAAAGTCTTACTAAAATCAAAATGTATCATCTCTTGCTTTCCCCCTATCCACTCACCAGTAATCCTGCAAAAGAAGGAAATTAAAGTGGTTTTGTATGATTGGTTCTTGTCAAACCCATGTTGGCTTTTATTTATAACCCTACGATCCTCTAGGTGTTGACAAAATGATTGTTTAATAATTCGTTCCAGTATCTTCTCAGGTATCGAAGTTAGGCTGACTGGTCTATACTTCTCCAGATGCTCTTGGTTCCCCTTTTCAAGTACCTTTCTCCAGTCCTCAGGGACTTCACCCATCCTCCATGAGTTTTCAAAGATAGTCACTAATGGTTCTGAAATTGTTTCAGCTAGTTCCTTTAAGTACTCTTGGGTGAATTTCATCAGGTCCTGTTGACTTGAATACATCTCCCTTATCTAAGTATTCTTTAACCTGTTCTTTCCCTGTTTTGACTTGTGTTCCTTCCCCCTTGTAATTAACATTAATTGTGTTAAATATCTAGTCACAGTTTACCTTTTTAGTGAAGACTGAAGCAAAATAGGCATTAAACAACTCAGCTGTCACCGTTTTGTTGAGGTTTGGCTCTTGCTTAGTGAGTTTTGTTAATTTTCTAAAAATTTTATTTGAAAAGGAGTACTTCAGAGAACTAGGGTTTACGTGCTACAGTCCACTAACTCGTGTGGAAAGAGCAAACCTGGATGGAAATGGAGTAGTAGGAGCAGGGAGCAATGACCCATGACACATTCCTACTGCACCCATAGAGTGGGGGCACTGTCAGAGTGAAGAGTTTAATATTAGAAGGGACCACCAGATCATCTAGGGCTTGTCTACACAGAAACCGCTACTGCAGCACAGTGGTGCCACCGCAGCAGTGCTACTGTAGCGCTCCAGTGAAGATTCTACACCAATGGGAGAAACCCTCCCGTCAGTGTACGTAATCCACCTCCCCAAGAGGCAGTAGCTCAGTTGATGGGAGAATTCTCCTGTCGGCCTAACACTGCCTACCCCGGGGGGTTAGGTTGGTTTAAGTGTATCGCTCAGAAGTGTCAATTCCTAGTGTAGACCAGGCCCTATGCTGACCTCCTGTATATCACAGGCCACCGATGCTACCCAACATCCACACTAAACCCAACAACTAAAATTAGACCAAAATATTACAGCCCACAGGAGACTATTATGTGTCACAGGAAGAGTTGAGTTAATGGGGATTGATCCTGTGCTCTTTGAAGTCAATAGCAAAACAGTGCAGAATCAGGCCTGTGCTGGATTAGGCGCAAAACCAGGGGGATCAGCTACTCTTCATGGCATGCCCTCATCTGAACAGCATAGATAATTAACGAGTTAGAGAAGCATTAGGTCATGTTCTATGCCTGCAACTTTCTTAAGGGTGTTGACAGGGAGCCTCATATGGGTATGTCTACACAGTAAAGAAAAACCCATGGTTGGCCCATGTCAGCTGACTCAGGCTTGGACTGCTGGGCTGTTTCATTGCTGTGTAGATTTCTGGGCTCTGGATGGAGCCCGGGCTCTAGGACCCCGCAGTGGGGAGGGTCCCAGACCTTGGGCTCCAGCCTGTACCTGGAAGTCTACACAGCAATGGAACAGCCCCGCAGTCCAAGCCCAAGTCGGCTGGCACTTTTCTTTGCTATATAGATATACCTATAGTGTTTGTTCTCTCTCTCTCTCTCTCCTATTGTTTTTTCTGGAGGAAGGTTGGTAGGGTGTAATACAGCTTCAGACTTTTCTTTGTCATGTTGAATCTGGCTAGCAGTGAAAGTCTATTTAGTGGTTGCAGAAGTAGACATCTATATAGAGGCTTAATATGAATTGGTGTATGTGATAGGAACAAAGAAGATAGAGAGATCTGTGAACTCCAACCAAGCCATTTAATCACCTAGAAATTTGTAACAATGACATCAGGAGATGTAATCAGTTCAGCTGGTGATTTCATGAACTGACCTCTAGTTCTGTACAAGGGCTCATTGTATACGCTTTCTCACCAATTTGGTCGTCCACTTGGCAGACAGCATTACCGCAGAGCCCTCCTCTAGGGTGAAGTTCACCTCTGTGTAGTGGGCCAACAGAAGGTCTGTACAGCACCGTAGTCCTCTTTAGGCTCTCAAAATAAGGCTTAAGGGCCTTAATTTGACCCCACACCCACCCCTTTTCACAGTGGGAATTTCCCCCATAGGGAAGTCCTCCTTTTTCCACAGCTTTACTAGGGGCAAAAATTTTCCTCACAGATCTGTCTGACAGATCTTAACACCTAGATTCCATTCTCCCTACCCTACAACCCCACAAGAATTCTGGGCACATAGGGAAAGCACAGAATTATGATCCGCTGGTGCAATCTCTAAATGGGGAATTTTGCCATATAATTGGAAGGAAAATCTTTACAGCACAAAGCAGTGGAAATAGGTCTGAAATGCCACTCTATTTCATTGTAAATCAGAGATAGGCCTGACCATCCCCTCACCGAACTCTGGGGCAGTTTGAATCCATAGTTCAATCCTCATTTCAAGGCTTTTCCCTATCTCTATAATCGATCAAACCAAAACCATGCTTCTAGGCCCACGGTACTTTTGGGAAGCTGAATTCAGATTCAAACTTCTCAACCTAGGCCCAGTTGTTCATTATATCCAAGTTCACTATTAGCAGGGTCCATTGCCTAGGACATCATAGTGAAGAAGGCCTTAGGTCTGTTCCCATGAGATGTCCAATGCAAAGATTTGAGAGGCATTTAGATAAACTTTTCAAACCTGAACATTAAGTTGCCAATGGCCCCTACCTGCATACAGCAGGGCATACCAATGGGCTGTTATGCACATGTGTAACAGGGCACCACCATCCCTTAGGATATGGAAAAATGAGGCACAGTTACTATTGTTATACTAATGGCTGATGTCTCTGACAGAGCCGATTCTAGGCAACTTGTCTCCTAGAACACTACGGTTACTAGCAGGACAGCCTGGAGAAGCTGACAAACTTTCTTGAGCGTGTAACTCCTGAATAAATAGGAAGCTTCTGTTTCCTATGTCCCACCCCAGTCCCATTAAGTTAATAAAAATAAATGTCTATCCATCCTTTTGAGGGCAAAATTTTGTTCCCTACACCAAGCCCAAGTCAATGTGTTGGGTGTGCTAGGGCATGGATTCCTGTGGTCTAGCAGAAGGAATTCTCCTAAGCCATTCAGTGATGACTTTATGTGGCTGTTCTTGCAATCTCAGAACTCCAGTAGCATCACCCCTTAACTTGAGGGCGTGGTTAGTGAATCCATGCATTTGATGATCTGCAGATCATGCCTCTCCCCCAGCTCTACCACCACAATTCCTGAGCATGGTGCACAGGATACCCTCTGTGCAGGTTCCCACATCCTGGTGCTCCATGCATACTTATGTCCAGGAATGGCACTGGCTCTTGTGCATTCAGGACTTCTGGCACAATTTGCCTCTAGCTATAGTAAGCAAATATGTCAAAGTGGTTTTCTCAGGAAGTGGATGGTAAATATATTGCTAAAGCCTTGGGCTTTAAACTCCTAACCATTGATAGGCAGCAGAAGTGAAAAGTAAATATACTTTAATATTAATGGGAGCCCAAGTTTATGCTGAGGTGCAAAAATACAAGTAAAAAGAAATATGTAAACACTTCTAATTATATTATATCATCTTTGTTTTAGGATACAAAACAATTACCTAGCCTTACAAAGAATTAATCAGGACTTGGAAGATAAACTTTACAGGATGGTAAGTTTTTTTTTTATTTTAAATATATTTTTATGGTTCTTAAGCTACAGGACAAATGGCTGCATAACTGGTATGATTAAGCTTGTGCTGTACACAGGGGGATACTAAACCAGGGAGCATGACTTTATCAATATAATGAGCCAGTCCCGTAGCTGGCGTTTATCTGCATAGTTCTATTAACTTCAACGAAGATATGTCAATTTATATCAGTTGATGATCTGGCTGGACAATCTTGGCTTTAAAAGAATTCTGGTTAATTTGGCTAATAACGTCTTTTTCCTTGGGTTTGTAATATTTAGGTTTTAATTAAGAAAAGATTCAAATGAGGCAATCCAAATTACCAAACTGAAAAATGTTTCATTGATCTTTGGTACATTCATTCAGCTTTATTAAGTGACTTAATTGAGCTTGGAAAGTCTTTTCATATCCTGTCATAACTATCAGTCAATCTCAGTATATTCATTTCTGTGTCAATGTTGATCCTACTGCCATAGGCCAGTTAGTAACTAAGAGGGGGAGAAATTATTGCACCAGGTATGGGCCTCTGGGTTTATGAACATTATGAATGAACCACATGAACATACAGTCACACTCTGCTTGGAGCTGTAAAAATACCCTGTAATTTTATTAGTGGTGATGCTTATTTGTCAATGCACTTTTAACATAATATTCATTTTTAGGAAGATTTTAAAGAGAAATTTGGGTGTGATGTTGAGGAGGGATATGCATGGAACAACAATTGTAAACATTGTGCTGTGAGGAATTCTGTTGCAGTGCCTGAATCTCAAAAGGTCTTCAGGTCTTTACCCTTCCTGGACCCTTCACATCCTCACTTTGACCCTGTAACCATCCATTCCCAACTCACCTTCCTTTCTGGTCCTTTAACAATCCCTCATGCATGCACATACATACATACTGCTGACACAGCCCTTTAAGGATGCTAGTGCAGAGCCTGGGGCATATTGCACAGAATAGCATATAACATTTGACTGGAGAGGCAGACTGGAGCTATGCAAGACAAACTGGGCTTGGCAATGTGCCTGATGAAGATGGGGGAATTTCAGATTTAGAAAAAGAGGAGGACAGGAAATGGATTGTTAGACATTGGAGGGTGGAATAGGGAGGGAATCCAGGAACGCACAATTTAGAGTCCCCCAGGCCCTAAACAGGAAATTGAAAACTGAACCTTAAATCTGAATATTTCTCCTCCAGGCTCCAAATATCCATGGACCCATTCGTATCCCAGGAATTTTGTGCAAATAAAGGATGCAAGATGTGGTCCATAGTTAATAAAACATCAGTACATTAGTAACTGGCAAAGAATTGATAAAGTGAGGGGCAATGATGGAGACAGTGAGCAGATTTGTTTAAGTTATATCTATTTGATTATATCCCTGTCCCCCACCCTTCATATGCTCATTTCTTCTTTTATTGTAAGATCCTTGGGACAGGGATTGTCTCCATCTATGTTCGGACAGCACCTAGCATGTTGTCGTTGCAACCACAATGCAACTAAATAATAACACTTCGAAATTCCAATTGGCAAACAAAAAGAAAGAAAGAGGTAACTCCAGGCACTATAGAAAGCAACAGTTTTCTAGGTCATACCAAATACTTTGGAATAAACAAGAGCTCTCAGACCCACAACAGAGTCTGTGCTTTAAAGCATGAGAAGAGAATCTCGCATGAGTGGAACAGGACATGGTCCCAGTGGAGAACCTCACCTTTCTTTATTCCTATCAGCACGAGAGGAAGTGAAGACTGATTCACAGGAACTGAAGAGGATCTCCAAGGCTTTATGGAACACTTAATCTCAGAGTTGCTTTGTCTTCTGGAACATTGAGACAGGGGAACCTGTTGGCAAAAAACAAATACAATCAAATGGAAACTAATAAAAACAAGAAGGAAGAGTGTAGCAGATTGTGTGCCATTCTTGATTCAAATGGCCCAAACCATTTCATCTTCAGGGCACATTGCAATGCCCAACCTTTTGGGAAGAGTGGGGTGAATTAAAAGCCGAGCTGGCTATTATTGTGGGCTAGGATCACAGAGGCCGATGAAGTGGCCTGTCGCCCACGAAAGCTTATGCTCAAATAAATTTGTTAGTCTCTAAGGTGCCACAAGTAATCCTGTTCTTTTTGCGGATACAGACTAACATGGCTCCTACTCTGAAAAGAGGTCTCTCTCTCTCCCCACTTTCTGTGTTAGGGAAGCAGCGGGATTAATTTTAGTTGTCTAGGTCAGTTTGTGTTTCACTGTATTTCAAAAGCATTTAAAGCCTCTGGATGGTGCTATTTTATATTTTATAGAAATCCCAATAAATTTAAAAAATAAGCAAAAAAACCCCAAACTCATGCCATCCCTGCTTTACCTTTGCCTGTATATTTTGGTTCGTATTTGGATACTGAACAGTTAACATATCCAAATGGAACGAACAGGGAGGAGGTTGTGGAGCAGAAGCAATACTTTTACAGTCCTAGTCCTACAACAGCATGTGCGCAGGTGGAGTCCCATTGAAGTTAAAGGAACTCTGCTCAGACAAAGGGCTCTGAATGCTTCTGTGCTGGTGCAGGATTGGGGCCTAAGTTTGCTATGTTTTTGCCTCTCCCCCCCAAAAAAATTGAAAAGAAAAATATTAGGTGGACAAGGCAAAAAAACAAATCTAGTAACTGCCCTATTTTGGAGGAATCTGGAATTTTAAATCCACTTGTGCCTACTGTTGAAAGTGATATAAAAATTAGTTCCATTAAATAGAAAAAAACTGAGATTTTTCTTTGTGTATCAGTTGTTTTTCTCCTAACCTGTACCTGCTTTTAAATACTGACCTATAAAACATGTTTTTTAAAAACTTTTTAAAATAACCTTGTGACTCTATCCAAGTATTGTTGCCCAACTGAAAGTCCAAAAACAAATGTAATCCACAGTATCCCTGCTGAATGTGGCTAAAGTGAAACATGTGGTCCTTATTCAGATAAAAATCAATGTTAGTTTGGTCTAAATAAGCACTGCCATACTAAATTCATGTTACACTAGAGGCGAACAGACCAAGAACCAGGGCCGGCTCCAGGCACCAGCTTGGCAAGCAGGTGCTTGGGGCGGCCACTCCGGAGAGGGGCGGCAGGTCCACCTATTCGGCGGTAATTTGGGGGACGGTCCCTCACTCCCGCTCGGAGCGAAGGACCTTCCGCCGAATTTTTTTTTTTTTTTGGCTGCTTGGGGCGGCCAAAACCCTGGAGCCAGCCCTGCCAACAACTACAGATTCTGCTGCTACAAATGCCTGTTCTTAGCATAGTCAAGATCTGGATTTGGTGATTTGCATGTTCCTGTCAGCATCAACTTGTAGAGAAGTAAAATACAAACAATCTTGGTAAATAATTAAGCATCATAATTCTGGACTCTTTTTCATTAAGAGGAAGGCAAGAAACATGCAGAACCCTGCAGTGCTGTGTTGTGATTGTCACATGCTATTTAATTAAAGACTATATCTCCTCTAGTTCCAATATTACCAACATTCACTAATTTCCCCTGAAGTTAGTCTGAGTAAAATATTGGCTTGGCATGACCTTGCCATACATGAATGGCAGAGTGATAGTAGACTATACAGATCATCCCAAATGAATGCTGATAAAACCTTTATACCATCCCAAGCCCCATATGTTAGAGAAAAACTACTTTACAAAACAATGTTCAAGTGATTTAAAAATTGGAGAGGGGGTGGGTGTATCACTATATATAAAGCCTGGTGCCTTATTTACCATGGACCAGATTTTCAAAAGATTTTTAGGCACCTAAAGATGGAGATAGGGGCCTGTGAAAATTCCACTAGATGCCAAAGAAAATCTGGCTCCATGAGTCCAGGTGCACAGAGGAAGCCATAATCTCAAAAAATAACCTAAAATAGCTTTTCTGTAAATAAAAATGTCACAATGTTAAGGTGATGCCTTAACTAGAAGCTAAGGCTGGTTCTTACTGGAAAGTTGGGACTGCCCAGTGGTGTAAGGCTGTTTCTAGCTCTACAGGGTTACAAGATGTCAGACTTTAAACCCACCACTGGTCTAAGATGTACTTATGTACACACGCAGTATGTGGATTGTGGAGGTGATAGCCATGTCATTGCAGAGTTATGTGGTGAACTGGGGATATATGGGATAAATTAACTGACAGTTTGAAAATGTATCATGTACCTTTGACCACCTCACACAATAGGCGCTGACTTTTATTTTTCCTCAGGGGTGCTCCACCCCTACTCTGCCCGAGGCCCCACCCCCACTTCGCCCCTTCCCCAGCCCCACTCTTGCTCCACATCTTCTCACCCCCAATCCGCCCCCTCCCCCGAGGCCTTGTCCTCCCACCCCCACTCCGCCCCTCCCACAAGACCCTGCCTACCTGCCACTTGCTGCTCTCCACCCTCTCCCAAGCTCCTCCCCAAGCCGTCGAGCAACTGTTCAGGGATGCTGGCAATCAGCTGATCAGGGGGCGCCAGCAAACAGCTGTAGCTGGTGGGTGCTGAGCACCCACTTTTTTTTTCTGTGGGTGACCCATAGAGTTGGCACCGATGACCTCACATCCTCCCTTTGCCCAATAGTCCATCTTTCCCCGAACTACTTCCAACATTCTAAACCTCCAGCTGCTTCGAACAGCCACCAGTGGTTTTTTCAACAACCTGTCAAAGAAACATTTCACCCTTTCTTCCCAAATACCCAGCTGCCAGCCAGCTAAATAAAGGCTATATTTTGTGGCCATGATAGTATTAGACCTTTGCTTCACTGAGACATTGTGCGATGTTGAGCTGTTGCCGTTGTTATTTGCAAAGCAGGGAGGCAGAGTTGCCATTCAATTTAAAAATCCTGCTTTCCCCTAGATCTGGTCTGGATACTTATGTCTATTTCGTGGCCATGAAGTCATATGAGCTGCAAGCTTTTTCAATAAAGCGACCGCACCACTTTCCAAGGATCTGACTGATAAAAAATACAGGGTGCTTTTTTATTAATAACATTGGA